GTCAATACGATTCTTTTTTGGAAGTTCTTGCTTTTGCATCATGAATGAGAGTTCAGGGTAGATAGACCAGAGCACAGCACAGGTTAATACTAGAACTAAAAACAAGGTAAATCATAGTCTGAGGTAATTAGGTAATTAGGTTAAGAGATTTTATTATGAACAGAATACAGCATTCAGCTGCAATGTTCAAGAATCATCTGCAAATAAGAAAACAAGAATATAAGGTAAAAACTCTCTTGTTTTATATTTTGGGAATTTTTCCTTTGTTCTTGTATACTGAGATTAATTTGCTACTGGGGGATAAATCAGATTTCAGTTGAGTTCTTCACTTAGCAAAGAAAAATCTTAAAAAAATAGTTTAGGAAAAGAAAACATATTCACAAAGAAGTTCTCATTGACAGTTTCTCTCTTTAACTGAAGTACTACATCAGTTGAAAAACACAAGATTGGGCATGTGTGTTCTTAAGCAACACATGCTTCCAGAACCTCTCATTCTTGTGGAATTTTAATAAAATACTGATTAAATATATCATGCCAGAGTTCCATATATTACTATGTGGAGTATGATGTAGAGAAACCCAACAGTGAAGACAGTGAGACTGGAACTTTGCTTGTAAAATGAAAGAAAATATTCAGGAAAAGATTTAGAAACTAAAAGGGGAAGCCTTCCATTTTACAAGCTTGCTAGTTTTTCCATAATTATATAAATCTGTTGTCGTTCCTTCAGTAATGCCTTTGCTAGAAAAACACTGAAGCTTTCTTTCCTCATATGTTTCTGAATTTTTACCAGCAAAGATGGTTTTGATTTTGTGTGTGTTTCTCATAAAAAAAGGCTCAGTTACCTACATCTGATTTTGCTCAGAATTTTTCCATTAACAATATGTCTCAGTAACAATAAAGGAAGGAAAGTAAAGTGCAGAGAGATCATAGAACCACAAAACCACAGGGAGGTATGGTAGGGCTTTGAGATTTGTTTTTTCAAAGGATCAAGGGTCAATACGATTCTTTTTTGGAAGTTCTTGCTTTTGCATCATGAATGAGAGTTCAGGGTAGATAGACCAGAGCACAGCACAGGTTAATACTAGAACTAAAAACAAGGTAAATCATAGTCTGAGGTAATTAGGTAATTAGGTTAAGAGATTTTATTATGAACAGAATACAGCATTCAGCTGCAATGTTCAAGAATCATCTGCAAATAAGAAAACAAGAATATAAGGTAAAAACTCTCTTGTTTTATATTTTGGGAATTTTTCCTTTGTTCTTGTATACTGAGATTAATTTGCTACTGGGGGATAAATCAGATTTCAGTTGAGTTCTTCACTTAGCAAAGAAAAATCTTAAAAAAATAGTTTAGGAAAAGAAAACATATTCACAAAGAAGTTCTCATTGACAGTTTCTCTCTTTAACTGAAGTACTACATCAGTTGAAAAACACAAGATTGGGCATGTGTGTTCTTAAGCAACACATGCTTCCAGAACCTCTCATTCTTGTGGAATTTTAATAAAATACTGATTAAATATATCATGCCAGAGTTCCATATATTACTATGTGGAGTATGATGTAGAGAAACCCAACAGTGAAGACAGTGAGACTGGAACTTTGCTTGTAAAATGAAAGAAAATATTCAGGAAAAGATTTAGAAACTAAAAGGGGAAGCCTTCCATTTTACAAGCTTGCTAGTTTTTCCATAATTATATAAATCTGTTGTCGTTCCTTCAGTAATGCCTTTGCTAGAAAAACACTGAAGCTTTCTTTCCTCATATGTTTCTGAATTTTTACCAGCAAAGATGGTTTTGATTTTGTGTGTGTTTCTCATAAAAAAAGGCTCAGTTACCTACATCTGATTTTGCTCAGAATTTTTCCATTAACAATATGTCTCAGTAACAATAAAGGAAGGAAAGTAAAGTGCAGAGAGATCATAGAACCACAAAACACCAGGTTGGAGGGGACCTCAAGGATCATCTGGTCCAACCTTTCTAGGGAAAAGCATGGACTAGACAAGATGGCCCAGAACCCCATCCAGCTTAATCCTAAAAGTGTCCAATGTTGGGGAATCCACCACTGCCCTGGGAAAATTATTCCAATGGCTGATCTCATTGTGAAAAATTTTCCTCTTGTGCCCAACTGGCTTCTCCCCATGAGTAACTTGTACCCATTATGTCTCATCTTTTCTATCTGACTCTTTGTAAAAAGGGAGTCTTCATCGTTTTTGTAGCCACCCTTTAAATAGTGGAACATGGTGATAAGGTCTCCCCTAAGCCTTCTTTTCCCAAGGCTGAACTAACACAGTTCTCTCAGCCTTTCCTCATATGGCAGGCTTCCCAGTCCTTTGATCATCTTGGTGTCCCTTCTCTGAGCCCTCCTCAGCCTGTCCACATCTTTTTTGGATAGCAGGGACTAAAACTGAACACAGCATTCCGGGTGTGGCTTGACAAGTGCTGAGTAGAGTGGGGTAATGTCTTCTTTATCTCTGCTGGTGATGCCCTTGATGCAACCCAGCATCCTGTTTGCTTTCTTTGCTGCAGCAGCACCACTGTCCACCCATGGAATCATGGAATTCTCAGAGTTGGAAGGGACCTTTAGAGATCATCTAGTCCAACTCCCCTGCTAAAGCAGGGTTGCCTAGAGCACATTACTCAGGACTGCATCCAGACAGGTCTTGAAGATCTTTGGAGAAGGGGACTTCACAAAGTCCCTAGGCAGCCTGTTCCAGTGCTCTGTCATCCTCACCATAAAGAAGTTTTTTCTCAGATTTGAATGGAACTTCCTATGTTCCAGCTTGTGCCTGTTGCCCCTCCTCCTGTCACTGGGAACCACTTAAAAGAGTCTGGCTCCATCCTCCTTCAACACACTCTTTAGATACTTGTAGGCATTAATAAGGTCTCCCCTCAGCCTTCTTCAGGCTAAAGAGTCCCAGCTCTCTCAGCCTTTCCTCATAAAGGACACGCTCCAATCCCTCCATCATCTTTGTTGCCCTATGCTGAACTCTCTCCAGTCACGAGGTCACAAGGGTCCAAGGTGCCTCATTATCTGTGGTAGCTGCCCCAGGAGCATAGTTCTGAAACCACTTATCTATATCCGTTTTGGCCCCTCTAATACTGCACAGCTTTTTAACTGTTTCCTGCAACTCGATCACCTGATGCAACAGATCATCAATCTGTTTGCATCATTTGCAGGTGCTTACCTTTTCTCCAGGTGAATCACAGAATCACAGAATTGTAGGGGTTGAAATGGACCTCTAGAGGTAATTAGGTAATTAGGTTAAGAGATTTTATTATGAACAGAATACAGCATTCAGCTGCAATGTTCAAGAATCATCTGCAAATAAGAAAACAAGAATATAAGGTAAAAACTCTCTTGTTTTATATTTTGGGAATTTTTCCTTTGTTCTTGTATACTGAGATTAATTTGCTACTGGGGGATAAATCAGATTTCAGTTGAGTTCTTCACTTAGCAAAGAAAAATCTTAAAAAAATAGTTTAGGAAAAGAAAACATATTCACAAAGAAGTTCTCATTGACAGTTTCTCTCTTTAACTGAAGTACTACATCAGTTGAAAAACACAAGATTGGGCATGTGTGTTCTTAAGCAACACATGCTTCCAGAACCTCTCATTCTTGTGGAATTTTAATAAAATACTGATTAAATATATCATGCCAGAGTTCCATATATTACTATGTGGAGTATGATGTAGAGAAACCCAACAGTGAAGACAGTGAGACTGGAACTTTGCTTGTAAAATGAAAGAAAATATTCAGGAAAAGATTTAGAAACTAAAAGGGGAAGCCTTCCATTTTACAAGCTTGCTAGTTTTTCCATAATTATATAAATCTGTTGTCGTTCCTTCAGTAATGCCTTTGCTAGAAAAACACTGAAGCTTTCTTTCCTCATATGTTTCTGAATTTTTACCAGCAAAGATGGTTTTGATTTTGTGTGTGTTTCTCATAAAAAAAGGCTCAGTTACCTACATCTGATTTTGCTCAGAATTTTTCCATTAACAATATGTCTCAGTAACAATAAAGGAAGGAAAGTAAAGTGCAGAGAGATCATAGAACCACAAAACACCAGGTTGGAGGGGACCTCAAGGATCATCTGGTCCAACCTTTCTAGGGAAAAGCATGGACTAGACAAGATGGCCCAGAACCCCATCCAGCTTAATCCTAAAAGTGTCCAATGTTGGGGAATCCACCACTGCCCTGGGAAAATTATTCCAATGGCTGATCTCATTGTGAAAAATTTTCCTCTTGTGCCCAACTGGCTTCTCCCCATGAGTAACTTGTACCCATTATGTCTCATCTTTTCTATCTGACTCTTTGTAAAAAGGGAGTCTTCATCGTTTTTGTAGCCACCCTTTAAATAGTGGAACATGGTGATAAGGTCTCCCCTAAGCCTTCTTTTCCCAAGGCTGAACTAACACAGTTCTCTCAGCCTTTCCTCATATGGCAGGCTTCCCAGTCCTTTGATCATCTTGGTGTCCCTTCTCTGAGCCCTCCTCAGCCTGTCCACATCTTTTTTGGATAGCAGGGACTAAAACTGAACACAGCATTCCGGGTGTGGCTTGACAAGTGCTGAGTAGAGTGGGGTAATGTCTTCTTTATCTCTGCTGGTGATGCCCTTGATGCAACCCAGCATCCTGTTTGCTTTCTTTGCTGCAGCAGCACCACTGTCCACCCATGGAATCATGGAATTCTCAGAGTTGGAAGGGACCTTTAGAGATCATCTAGTCCAACTCCCCTGCTAAAGCAGGGTTGCCTAGAGCACATTACTCAGGACTGCATCCAGACAGGTCTTGAAGATCTTTGGAGAAGGGGACTTCACAAAGTCCCTAGGCAGCCTGTTCCAGTGCTCTGTCATCCTCACCATAAAGAAGTTTTTTCTCAGATTTGAATGGAACTTCCTATGTTCCAGCTTGTGCCTGTTGCCCCTCCTCCTGTCACTGGGAACCACTTAAAAGAGTCTGGCTCCATCCTCCTTCAACACACTCTTTAGATACTTGTAGGCATTAATAAGGTCTCCCCTCAGCCTTCTTCAGGCTAAAGAGTCCCAGCTCTCTCAGCCTTTCCTCATAAAGGACACGCTCCAATCCCTCCATCATCTTTGTTGCCCTATGCTGAACTCTCTCCAGTCACGAGGTCACAAGGGTCCAAGGTGCCTCATTATCTGTGGTAGCTGCCCCAGGAGCATAGTTCTGAAACCACTTATCTATATCCGTTTTGGCCCCTCTAATACTGCACAGCTTTTTAACTGTTTCCTGCAACTCGATCACCTGATGCAACAGATCATCAATCTGTTTGCATCATTTGCAGGTGCTTACCTTTTCTCCAGGTGAATCACAGAATCACAGAATTGTAGGGGTTGAAATGGACCTCTAGAGATTATCTAGTCCACCCCCCTGCCAAAGCAGGTTCACCTAAAGCAGGCTGGACAGGAATGCATCCAGGTGGGTTTTGAGTATCTCCAAGAGAAGGAGGCTCCACAAACTCTCCAACATCTCTGGGCAGCCTGTTCCAGTGCTCTGTCACCCTCAAAGTAAAGAAGATTTTCTGCATATTCAGATGGAACCTCCTCTGTTCCAGCTCGTGTCTCTTGCCCCTTGTCCTGTCGCCGGCCACAACTAAGAGCCTGACTTCATCCTCTTCACACCTGCCCTTTAGATATTTATTTATAAACATTAATAAGATGTTGGAGATGGATGCTGGCTCCTTTTGGGAATCTCTGCTCTTCCTCAGGTTTCCTTTGGCTCTGGGAATCTCCCTGCACACCCTGATCTAGTGTTCAGCCACAGGACTTATGCAGTCGCAGCCATGTGCCTCGTGGAGATAAGGCCATGGATTTAGATCTGATAATACTTACTTGGCTCAGAACTGTGTATCTTGAACAAAGATACCCTCCTACCAAAACAAAAAAAAACCAAACACCCCAGTTTTACAGAAATTAGTACTGTCTCATACTTTGCACACCCAAATTAAGACTTTGTCATCAGGTACACATTTGATTCTCAATTTTGCTATTTTTATAATTAAATAATTTCATGTATAAATAATCTCTAAGTGCTGATTAACCAAGGAATGCATGCAGGTTGCTTTTATAAGTTGGATACCCGGATTCCCTTTTCAGTTTCAGCAGCAGCAGATGGATATAGAAGAAATTATTTGATTTCTCCGTGCTTTATTTTTCCCTCTTATTCTCCTGGAGATAATGGTGGATTGATATGTATGTCTTTTGCATTTAGACACACAATTTATCTTCCCAAATTACGAGACTGACTCTCATATATATTCAGTGAAGTTGAGCTCCTCCAGAAGCAACTGAGAAGAATTATAACCTAAATGATCTGAATATCTTGTTCAGAGTAAATGGAGAAATTTGTATTGTGCCTGATATTTTCAGATGAACAGCCTATCACAGAGCTTATTTCTACAGGCAAATACTTTCAGAACAAGATTGAGGAAAAGAAAAGGCAGGTGTTGTTCAGAAAACAAAAAACATCTTCACTGTTTTGGAGGGCCTATTACCCCAAAACTTGTTGTACTACAGATGAAGGGCTCCTGATCTTCACAGTTATTTTTAAAATATATTTAAAATATATTTAAAAGCTGCTGTTACGAAGTGCCTTTCATGTTTGCTACATAGCACCCCAGTTTCATTGCAGAACAAGGAGCTAAGCAAACTAATGTTATGTTGAAGTTAGACCTCCTCTGACCTCCAGAGGTCCCTTCTGACATGAATTATTCTCTCAGGGAGACACCTGCAAGTTCCTTATATGTCAGTTCTTAAAAACAGGGAGATCAAAGAGACAAAAGAGGATTTTATATTCATATAAACTTATGCTGTAAGGATATTTCTTGCCAGTTTTCATTCATTATTCTTCTTGTGCCACACTAATGATAGTAATGCAAACTGCAAATTTTTCTGCTGATTCCACAAGAACTATACAAATTTGACAAATTTGACAATATTCCTCTTCCTTTCTCTTCTTTCTGCTTTTTCCACTCCATGTGTGGTCTTTCTGGGCCACGTAGACTAAATACCAAGTCCGGTCCTTGTCTGATACAATTTCTGTAAGAAAGCAGCAGCTGATGAAGAGTTTTGGTCATCACAGTTGCTGTTTAACTGTAGTTCAGATATTTTGGTGTCCACATGACATGGTTATTCAAGACCAACTTGCCACTGACCACACGGAAGCCTGGAACAGCAATAACCTCACCTAACTGAAAGTATCTGCAGTGCAGACACCTATATCTGAGCTGGTCACCATGGGAACATTTTACAGCCAATGTAGAGAAATCCTACTTTTGGATTGCAATTAATTTGACCCATCTTAAACCTTTGTGTTATTATGAGACAAGTGATATTCATAAAATGCCTCTATCATCTCATGTCTGAAGGGACAATGACACATAGACCTGTTAATGCAGCTGTAGATGTCTACATTTAGGTTAGCTGAATGCCTTTACTTTCTCCTCCTCATTGACCTTAGCAGATCACAAGCTATACCATTGTGAAACCCTGAGGTTTAGAAACCTCAGGACTCCTCAGTATTTTTTGTAAATTCAGACACTACTACATCAACTAGGCAAGCAAGCTCCAAGGTTAAAAGCCTCATACAGTTAAAGCAATAAATTACTAGTTTGAATCTGTCAAATAACTCCTACCTTTGTGGTGGTTCTCCATTATAAAAAAAGACTCCAGGAGGAATGGAGGGCATGCCTGTTTAAGGCATTTCTTGGCTACAAACCTAACTAATCTAAATTCAATTTTTTTTTCCTGTTCAAGAAAGACTTAGATCGAGTTTGTGCCCACCAATGAAATGCTCTTAGCTACAATATATGAAACTGTCTAAAAAAACCCCGAAACCCAGTTGCTCTATTAGTACAGAGGCAGTCTTCATCCTGCAAAATACAGATGGTTCAGGACAGTGTGTGTCCCCCCTCTAGCATACTCTGAAGCATTCAGAGAGAAGGATGTAGCCCTGCCTCAGCTAATTGGGCTGGTACCTCCTCCCTGAAGCATGGTAGTTATCAAATGTTTTTGCTTCTCATAACTACACCAAATACAGAAACTAACACTTTCCATTAAAATCACCTTTACTCCAACAGTAATCTGAACAGCAGCAACTTAAGGCACGGCCAGACTCCTCCCGGCAGTCTGGGTACTGGAGTAAGCCGGGCAAGTGTCTCACCCATGCTTGACCCAACCACAAAAGATGCTGGAGGCCCCCAGCAAACTGAAAGCTGGACGTGGTGATTCTCTTCTAAAGCAAGGGCTTCCAGTGGGTAGTGCATCGCCTCCTGCTGGGCAGCAATCCATGCCAAGCAAGGAGTGTGTCAGATAAACATCTGTGCCAGCAACAGTTTGTGTTCAATCTTGTCCTAGCAAAACAAGTGAACTATCAGCTTGAGGACCAATTGCACATTTCATTTTGGGAACAATGGCACAATTCCTCTTATCCTCCACACCTCAACAGTTTCTCCAAGTTACGTTTAGGACCTTTTGCTCACCAGGCATCCGAGCAGTGTTTACAGTAGAGCTAAACAGTTTCTTGGAGTAGCTTGTTGTAGGCCAGGGTATTACTGGTAGCTATGGCATTTTTCAGGCACTGCCAGAAGTAGGGCTGAGATCGGGGGTTAGTGGGCCATTCCAGGACAGAACTTCTGCACAGCCTCTTCCTCAGCCGGACATACCGAGACTTCTGCAAGACCTTCTCAAGAAATATCAAGATAATGACATCTATTTTTTCATCTAGAAGGCGCTGGTGGGCCATGTAAAATGTTGTCTTGAAGCGACCGCTTTTAATATACTTGTTGGTCAGCACAAAGACGGTCTTCTTGCTCAGCCGAATGCTCTGGGAAAGGTTGTCAAAGACGGGCTGTCCTGGCAGCCAGTCCCTTTCTTCCAGGCATAGATTGAACTGCCTGGGTTTCTGATCCTCCAGCCTTTCAACCAGTTCTGTCAGCACCCACTCATTCACAGCCGGATCTTTGTTGTCATAGGCAATAAAAGCATCGTAGCAAGCATCTGGTAAAGGGAGGCGCCGATAGCCCTTCAGCTTGGCAGTGCAGTAATGGTAACTATACCACACATCCCAGAAGTAGAGATGGTTCATCACTGTGAACGCCATTAAGGCTAGGACAGTTGAGGCTGACAGAGCGTACAGGATCAAATACGAGGTGTCCAGCTCACATGTATACAGATCCAAGAAAACCACACTCTTTCCTTTATGCGCCCCTGGGCCTGCACAGGTCACATCTGTTGCCAGAAGAGGAATAGTCACTTGAGTTTGATTGATCCAGGAAACAAACCACACGGCATCACAATTGCACTTGAAAGGATTGCCATGCAAGAGCAGCATCCTCAGGTTGTTAATGACGTTTTCAGGGAAGCTAGATTTCTTAATTATTTCAATCTTGTTTGCACTGAGGTCCAAGTATTTCAATTTAAAAGCACCTCTGAGAAAGTGTTTGGTTAGTCGCTGAATGCGATTGTTTCGGAGCATCAGTTCTTGGAGTGTTGAAGAGCAATTGGACAGTTCTCGGGGAACAGTAGAGAGAAGGTTATTGCTGAGGTCCAGAGTTACGAGTTTCTTCAGATACTGCAGTTTTCCCCAGTTGAAACTCTTCATCTGATTATTGGTTAAGTTGAGGGTCTTGAGGCCTGGAGGCATACCTTGAAAAACATCCGCAGGTAAAAAACTGAGTGAGTTGAAGGAAATATCCAGTTGTTCCAGGCTGGTCAGATTCTTGAAGAATGACAAGTATTTAGCATTGCCATCCATCCATAAAACATCCAAGCGATTTCCTCTGAATTCTAAAATTTGAAGAGATTGACTTTCCATTCCTGTGTTAATAGAGGTAGAAATCTCATTCTCATTCATCATCAGCTTCTTCAGGTGGGCCAAGTTTTTCATAAAACTCAGCGTGTGACTAACACCTTCTGCCAAGAAATAATATTTGTTGTTGCTCAGGTCTAGAACTTCTAGAAGTTGTAGCTCTTTGAAAGCAGTTGAGTAGAGCAAGTCAATCCTGTTGTCGGAAAAATCCAGATATTTCAATCCAGACAAGGAAGAGAATTCACTTCCGTTTAAGGTTTGACTTATTGCATTACCTGACAAGTTGAGGCATCTGAGGGAACCAAGTCCCTGGAAGTCTGAGGGGTTAATGAAAAAGATATTGTTTCTGCTCAAATCCAGAGTTTCTCCGTACCTCAGGCACTCTTCCTTAACTGAAGATTGGTAGGAAGCAGCCTCTTTGTCTTTGGACCTGCAACTTCGCCCATATACGTCATACCTGAAATAATGCATTTCTTGTAATACTTGCCTATTGTATTGCTCTACTGAAATCCGAGGATTAGAGCAAAATCCATAAGAATTGCTTTCCTCTGAAGAAGGAGAAATTTTATTCACTGAGAGGTCTATGAGTTTAAGAGCAGGGAACTCCTTGAACACTTTCAAGTCAGCTATTTTAATGAAGTTAGTCCCAAGATCCACCACAGTTAGATTTCTGAGACCGAGCAATGGAGCTAGATTACTTTTTCTCAGTTCATTAAAGACATAACCCCTGAGCCTGAGGGTTTCCAGGTTAGAGAGGGAGGAAAATGTCTTAGACAGATTCAAGAATGGAGAATACATCTTCAGTTCAAAATTAAAGGACAGATCAAGCTCAACAAGGCTAGGGATATACCGCAAAAACTGAGCATCTCCTATCTCCTTTAGGAGGAAATTTTGGGAGAGGTCAAGCTCTTTGAGATTCTTCATGTTTTGAAACCAGCTGCTGGGTACGCTCTGAAGAGAGTTGCTGTGGAGTCTCAAAATTCTTAAACTTTTCAAGGAATAAAAAGCCTCTGGATGAATCTCAATTGTGCTCCTGGGGCAGGGAAGACAAGGATATGGGGCATTATAGCAACGTGGGCAATTGCCGCTTAGGTCAAGAATTTCTAGGTTGTGCAGGGCACTTAAATCCTGTTCTTGAATCACTTCAATCATGTTATTGTAAATATACAGTTCCTTTAAAGTCGATGGCAAATGGGCTGGAATATGAGTCAAGTTGTTGGACTTCAAGGAAAGTATTGTTAATTTCTGCAGCTCCAGAAAGGCCGTTTCTTCAATTTCAAATGAAACGTTGCATGGATTACGGTAGTAACAGTTCTGTCCCAGATACAACACTTCTATGTTTCCTAGCTCGGACAAGTTAGCTCTTTGGATAGAAAAGATGCTGTTCGCTTCCAGGCTCAGCAGACTTAAATTAGTGGGAAGACCCCGGGGTATTTCCAACAGCTGGTTGGCATCCAGATACAAGGACTTCAGTCTTGTCAGGGCAGTAAAACTGCCGTGCTCAATCTTCAGTCTCTTGGTGCACACGTTATCTTTGGGTCCCATTCTGACAGGCATACAGTTGCACCTGAAGTCAATCTCCTTGAGGTTGTCAAGATGAGCAAAAGATGTTTGATAGATGTAGGGGATATCATTAATGCTCAGGGTAAGGTTGGTAGCATTTGCTGGGATCCCTCTAGGTATTTCAATGAGGCGGCGATTGGTGCAGTCCACGGTCACAGTACCTTCAGAAGCTTTAACATCACAGGGTAAACTTTTGGGAAACCAGGCTCCTGACAGCAGCATCGGAAATAGGAAGAGCAAGACAAATGGCAATGCCTTTGACGTCTTTGCATGAGGTACCTAAAAATAAGGACATAGGGAGGTACTAATTTAGAATCATCATAGTGTTATCAAATGATTGAGTTGGAAAGGACCTTAAAGGTGATCTAATTCTAACCCCTCTGCCATGTCCAGAGACACCATCCACCTTCCAAGGGCACCTTCCAGGGACACTAGATGAAGTTACTGATAATCCCATCCAGCCTGGCCTTGAACACTTCCAGAAGGGGGCATCCACAACTTCTCTGGCCATCCTGGTCCAGAGTCTTCCCACCCTTAGAGCAAATAACTTATTCCTAATATCTAATCTAAATCTACTCTCATCCGATCATTGCACTTCCTGATAAAGAATCCCTCCACATCTTTTGTGTTTGCTCCCTTTAGATACTGAATGGACACAACAAGGTCTCCCCAGAGGCTTATCTTTTCCATGCTAAACAACCCCAACTCTCTCAGCCTGTCTTCATAGGAGAGGTGCTCCACCCCTTTGATCATCTTTTTGGCCTTCCTATGGACTTGCTTAATGTCCCTTTTATGTCAGGGGCTCCAGAGCTGCATGCAGTACTCCAGGTGAGCTCTCATGAGAGTGGAGCAGAGGGGCAGAATAATCTTCCTCGACCTGCTGCCTGCTGGCCATACTTCTTTTAATGCAATGAGAACACGTCATAGGACATCAAATCAAGCATGTACTGGGTAAGACCAAATATAGCTAACCTGGAGCCATGACCCTCACACTGGATAGAAGTGCATATGCAGGTAGGATTATAAATTCAGGGAAGCCATATGTTTGTATTTCCTCATGATTTATTTTCTTACCACTAAGAGTTGTAATAGTAAGATAAAAATCACTCTCTAAATAACGAATCATTAAAAAAAAATACTGAAAAAATGATAAGGCAAGTGATTAAATGCTACATCTCTGTAAATTTTCTTTATTAGGGGGAAACAAACAGTTTTGAACATCCAGCAGACTGCCATCATATAATACTGTAAATGAGGAAAGGTAATTTTTTGAAACACATGAAAGACAGAGAAAAATCTGTATCACTTCAAAGCTAGTGCAATTTTTCAAAACCACAGTGACTTACAGGTGAGTGCCTAAATCTAATTTCACATTATTCTTCCTCTAGTGAGTGTTAGAGTGGAGAATGCTTGACCTAAGACAGTCTATTGCTTTACTTCTATATGGCTTAGTACCAGCTTGCACTTTCACTTTCCGGTAAGGACAGAGGGCCAAGAGGGCACTGTATCACTGCAAAAATGACAATCAAAGACAGATTTAACATTAAGCACGTCCCATAAAAGATTAATAATCAGTAAAGAATCAGAGCCTTTAAAGAACCTTCCAAAACACACTCTCTATCTGTCAAGTCTTTGTGGTCTTGCCTGCTTTATAGATTTGTGTGTATTATGGGAAGACCAATAAATTTTCAGTATTTCACACCTTACTAGTTACTTCCTCAGCAGCAATGTCAAAGAAAGCCTGTGCCTCTGGCCAGAGGCAGCCAGCCAGGCAAGCAGGCCGCCAGCCTTGGCTTGCCTTGCACATGGAGAGGGGGGCATGACCATCTTGCTGCCTTGTACAGCCTCTTAACTGTCTCTGTCTGGTGCTAGTCAAGAGATGTAAAAATAATAAACCCCACAATAACCAACATGATCATTTGTCTGTGGAAAAACTCACTGTTGAAGACTTGGGGATGCATGGCACACAGTGCTCTTAAACAACTGGAATTAGTTGTGCATGGAATAACATTGACTAAATGTGAATATCCAGTTAGGCAGCTGAAAATCAGACGATTAGGTAAAGTACACAGAAATGGTTTTTCTCTTTAGCTGGGACACAAGAACGTATAAAGACTTGCTCAAACAGTATGTGAAACCCCTGTGGAGTGTTGCCTAAGACATGCCTTGGTGGGTGAAACAGACTTTGAGATTAATTGAGGCTTCCTGTTGTATGCCCTGTTTACTTAGACCACTGTGTTCCCGTATAACTCTGTGTTTTTGCGTTACCTTAAATAACTATGCTAAACCTACCTATGCATCAGTCTATCTGTAGGAGTGCTCTAGTGACTAATAAGTTGAGGGTCTTGAGGCCTGGAGGCATAGCACGAAAAACACCCTCGGGTAAAAAACTGAGTGAGTTGAAGGAAATGTCCAGTTGTATCCCCATCAAGTCTCACACAGCACCACACTTCTTTGTCTGGATTCAAGTCAGCTTTTGAATACAAAGCTTCAATATGGAAGGAAAAAACTTAAAAGTCCACTGCAGACCTTGAATTCAGTGTAACCTGTTTTGGTAGTCCACAACTCTACCATGATTTCTTTTCCGACTTTTAGCAAGTGCTATGGTGCATTCTTCATCTGGACTAACCAGGTCATGCCTGTGAATTCACATTTCATTATTTTCAACTCTTGCAAAGTCATTTGTTAAGAATCGAAATAGCCTTCGTTTGGTTTAGAGCAGTTTACTTTGGAAGCTCACCCAGATGGAGCCTACTGAGTAAGACAGTTCACCAGTGTCTTCAGTACTGCCTAACCAATCAACTTTAGAGGGCTATTAACTTTTCTGATTTCCTGATGTGGAAAAGCTGTTGAATGAAAATGACAAATGAGAATAATCTGAGTAAATGGGAAGCCAATTTGGAGAAGATGAAATGTATTCATTTCCTCCTACTGTCCTAGCTTTTTTTTTTTAACTCTTTTTCCTTCACTATTGTGGTCAGGGACATGGAGGGAGAAGGAACGCTTCTACCATTGCTATTAATTACATGGAAAACTGAAGGTCTTTCTTTGCTGAAGAAAAATCTGGATATGCTTTTGTGAATATTTTGCCTTTCTTCTTTTCTAAGGCCCACACCATAGTATGCATGTAAGAGACTACTAGATGAATGAAAAAACAGAGAGTGCCTATCCAAACTGAATGGCCCATGGTGCCCCAGCTCCTACCTATCTCCGTATCTTGTTTTACCAGACCAACATACCCAAGGGGCCAGGGTTGTTAAACAAGGGAAGTGCAAATGGAGCATGCAGAGAGGTTGCAGGGAAATGGCAGAGGCTCTCTGCACTGCAGGAGAGGTTGCTCTATCAGGTGACTAAAATTAGATGCAATGAATCTAGGCCTTAAAAATCTTCATGAGGAAGACTGTAGGTTTCTTAAGAAGTCAAAAATTGCCTTTTGAGATGCTCACGATGTTCAGATTTTGAACTCTCACGTACTGCAGTACTTCCAGGAACCCAAGCACTGTTGCAGAGACAGCCCAGCTCCAACCATCTTTGTGCTTCATTTCTGTCTATATCCTTCTGTTTCCTAATACCCTTTGGATGCATTTGCCATCTGTAACTGTCAACTGTGACGTGCTAACTATTTGCATGTGCAACACCTGGTGTCTGTTGTAGTACCAGAACACACAAAAAAGATTGTTTTAATTAGAAGAAAGAAGCAACGCTGACTTGTGCAATGTCTTTGCAATGAGAAGCCAGTTCAAACGTGCAGCGGGAGTGTGCACGTGCACTGTCCTTTCCCTGTGACCTACGCTTGGCTTTAGAGGAAATTCAAGAAGCACTACTCTGCTGATATCAATGAGCACATGCACAAAGCCATAAGGATTTAGGGTAGTCTTCAAATGTTTAGCAACAACACAGCTAGATGTTTCTGAAGGAAGCTTTTCTCTTAGGTGTTCCACATGTATTTTCAGAGTTGAAAGGGCGAATGTTTAGAATGTTAGCGATTAGAAAAGACATGATTATACTCATTCTGTAACACAGGAGGACAATTAAATGCTAGCCAGTTTGTATCGGCACAAATAAAAGCTTTCCTTTCCTGTCATTATGTACTGTTTGAGCATTCCCAAAGCAGAAAAGCACAATGGTCTTGAAAGCCTTCCACAACAGCTGCAGTCAAAGAGACCTAAGCGCAAATTTGAAATGAAAGTTTAACCTACCATTTTTGTGTGCTTCCAGGTCTGGCAAATTTGTGGCTGGAGGAGACTGTAAATCCCAGCAGAAGCCAACAGCATAAAAGAGGTTCCCAGTGGTTCAGCTCAGGTGCAGAGGAGAGTGTAACGTGCCATAACTCACCCAAGACAACAGCAGTAATCACTACTCTATCTTCTTTTTCTTCTGTTGAACTCCAAAGGAGAGAAAGTACTTGGTGACAAAGTGTGAGATTAATCAGCTGGGAGATAAATGCATTACATAAGTGTAACATTCACATAAGGCAACTAAGATTTGCAGAAGCTCAAGTTCCTTCTTCCCCCCCCCCCCGCCCTTTTTTAGTATAATTTGCAGGAACAGAGAAAGAAATTTCTAATATTTTATATTTCAGAGTTAAGTAATTATTTCAGAGTTAAGTAATTATAATCATTTTTTTTTTTACTATTTTGGGTTCATTTCTGCTGCTAGTAGCTTCAAGGAGTTGGATCTTACTAAGAATCACTTTTGTGCTAATACAAGTAGGCAAATCTTATAAGCTGAATACTTTGTGGAAGAAATGTCTATTAAGTGAATGGGATTTCAGGGAACGGAACCAAAACCAAAGAAAAAAGGTATGGTGGTAAGGGCATGGGAAGCAGCATACAAAAAGTAAAAACTCCATGAGAGAGTGTAGAAGGGACCAAGCTCATGATGACATGGGTAGACTACGGTGGTAACAAGCCAGCATTTCATTAAACACCGTGTCTGTTGGAGAGTTTCTTACTTAGAAGCTTCTTTACTTAGCAAGACAGACTAGTTCAAGGGTTTTACCACTAAGAGTTGTAATAGTAAGATAAAAATCACTCTCTAAATAACGAATCATTAAAAAAAAATACTGAAAAAATGATAAGGCAAGTGATTAAATGCTACATCTCTGTAAATTTTCTTTATTAGGGGGAAACAAACAGTTTTGAACATCCAGCAGACTGCCATCATATAATACTGTAAATGAGGAAAGGAAAAACTCCATGAGAGAGTGTAGAAGGGACCAAGCTCATGATGACATGGGTAGACTACGGTGGTAACAAGCCAGCATTTCATTAAACACCGTGTCTGTTGGAGAGTTTCTTACTTAGAAGCTTCTTTACTTAGCAAGACAGACTAGTTCAAGGGTTAGGATATTTATTAAGTGAGGCTTTTTTCATATCTTGTTTCCCTACGTATTTTTCTTTACATTTCAAATAGCAGTTCATCACTTCTCTGACTGGGGCAGAGCTGAGGAACTCAGTTTGGAAGACTGGAACCAGAAGAATGACCAGGGAAGGAATTTGCAATCATACTTTAAAATTCCATGGTTTTAGTGGCCGAGTCCTACAGACACACACAAAACCAAGAAGATGTACAGCATCATTGCCCTGTCAGTCAAGGCCTAGGAAAGTGCTCATTAATTCACTCGAGGTCCAGGACTATAATGTTCACCTTTGTGCCCGCTTGCTAAAAGTACTATAATAAAGTACAAGTCCTCTGCTATTTACTGGTAACTGGGTTTTTCTTTTCATGCAGTCTGCACTGAGGTTTTCTTTGGGGGGTTATTGTAACTAACGCAGACGTCTCACTAAAGCCCTGCCGTGTTCTGCAAGGCCATTCAATGCATTTCTGGTAAGAGGAAAGCCCTCATTGCAAGCACCCTACCTTAGCAATTCCGCTCTGTTTCACAAAATTGCATGTCACCAGAAGGGAAAGTTAGCTTCCCCTCATTTATAGTTACTCACCCGACTGTAGAGCAAACGTGCTTACTTGTGAAATAAGAGAAGGACTCAGCACAAGCTGGATTGTGGAAGTTGATTTCTTCAAGCACCCAACCATGTCCCTGGTGTATGATACTGGAATCTTGCTTAAAGATGAAATGCTTAATGCCCCTGTCATGGTTTATCCCCAGCCGGCAACTAAGCCCCATTCAGCTGTTTGCTTACTCCCCTCTGGTGGGATGGGGGAGAGAATAGTAAATTTAAAAGTGAAAAGATTCATAGGTTGAGATAAAGATAGTTTAATAGGTAAAGGAAAAGCTGTGCATGCAAACAAGACACAACAAGGAATTCACTCACTCACTGCTTCCCATGGGCAGGCAGGTGTTCAGCCATCCGCAGGAAAGCAGGGCTCCATCACAGGTAATGTTTACTTGGGAAGACAAACACTGAACATCCCTCCTCCCTTCTTCTTCCCCCAGCTTTATATATTGAGGATGATGTCATATGGTTTGGAAAATCCCTTTGGTCAGTTGGGGTCAGCTGTCCCAGCCATGTCCCCTCCCAACTTCTTGTTCCCTCCCAGCCTGCTCACTGGAGGGAGGTGTGGAAAACAGAAAAGGCCTTGACTCTATGTAAGCACTGCTCAGCAGCAATGGAAACATCTCTGCATTATCTATACTTTTTTCAGCACAAATCTAAAACATGGCCCCATGCTAGCTACTTTGAAAACAATTAGCTTTATCCCAGCCAAAACGAGCACAACCCACTCGCTTTGGTTGTAAGTATGTTTCCTAAAGAACAGTGTACAGGCACCCAACACTGTGATTTTTGACAGGTCCTCTGTGTCTTTGGAGATCTTCCTTGCAGTCTATACCTACAAACGTCACACATTTTAATAGGTGTACCAATGCTTTGCCTTCTCAAATGAGGCTGAGTTTATTTTTTTCATATTAGGAACTGTCACCCAGCCAAGAGCACTTGAGTTTCAATTCCGTGCAGAGTGAAACTGCAAATTTAGTTGACCGCTAGTAGAGCGGTGCAGAGCACTTTTTTGTGTGGTGGTTTTTTTTGGTTTGTTGTTTTTTTTTTTTTAACCTAAGAAATGTGGGAAGCAAAATAAAATAAAGCAGTATTTCCCTTCAAAAGGTCAGGGGTAAATGTCTGGGGAGATCAGCAGTCCAGAACTTCAAAGCTATAATTTGATTTTTAGAGGAACAGTGAGTGACTGGTTTACTGATTTTAAAAGTTCAGATTTGTGTCAGACATTATGCAAAATCTCTTTTGCCTCCTGTGAAACATAAAGTAACTGAAAGCAGAAAAGTACTTCCTACTGTGCCACGTGCTATGGGAGGACCCACTGGTAACAACACATGAGTTTTGCCACCTTTGTGAGTGGAAATTTAATTTAGAATAAAGCGGGAGGAGTCTTCAATTGCTTTACTCTTTCATGTACAGGTTTGGTTTTCAGTTAGACTGAAATCAGACTGGTGAACGTTACATTTTTTTTCTCTTCTAAATGAAAATTTCCCACAAATTGCTTTAGTTTATATATCAAAATCAGGATACTACCATGTTTATCTTAAAGCTGGGTAGTTTACTTAAAGTCTTTCAGAACTCTAATGTGCTAACTCTTATATCAATAATTATGATTCAACCCCAAGTATATGTTAATACAGCGTTTAGTGTAACATTGCATAATTTACCCAGGAAATTATCAAAGACAAGAGTTAAGTTGCTCAATTTTTGAAATACACAAGTTGACTCTTCAGACCAATGTAGACAAATGTACAAAAAGAACCACAAAGAGAAATGGGTAGCAAAATTGAGGAAATGGTAACAAACTCACTTGCAGAAGCTTTAAGGGGTGTAAAAATGTAGGATCCCTGCTGATAGCAGTTGCAGAAATGTGTTTGCAGGCACTAAAAATAACCAAAACAATAAACAGAAGACAGCAGTGGAGAAGATTGGCCTACGTCAAGGGCAGAGGAAGCTCTACAAGCTCTGGTGAGGGAAGAGACCCTCACAGATCTACACTAAGAGCTTACCCAGCCTGCTTTGACATTCAGCTGGGGGAGCCCCCAGCACCACAGAACACAGCAAGTCCCCGTGCTTTACCTGCTCTTTGCAGTGTCTTTTATTCTTTCACCTACTTTGCCTTTTTTGACAAGTAAGCACAACATGGGCCTGAAGAAGAACGCCAGGAGTGCCCACAACTACACCTCATTTCTCACTCATGACAACCATACTGGGTCCGGCTGGGGTGGAGTTCATTTTCCCCATAGCAACCCCCATGGTGTTGTGCTTTGCAGTGGTGACCGAAACATTGTCGATAACACACCAGTGGTATGGCTGCTGGGGAACTTGCACACCCTCAAGGCCTTCTCCACTTCTCACACTGACTCCCTGGGCACCAGGCTGAGGGTGGGCAAGAATCTGGGAGTGGACACAGTTGGGACAGCGGACCCCAGACTGACCAAAGGGATAACCCATGCCATATAGTGCCATGCCCAGCAAAAAAACTTGGAGAGGGACTTTCACCAAAGCAGCCATCACTCAGGGGTCTGCTGGTAGTATGCGGGGAGTGGTTGCTTTTGCAATAGTAATGCATGCACTGTACCAAGACTCTAGGTTACTTTTGACCTGTAGCAGACATTGGCAAGACTGAAATTTTAATTTCTTAGTGTGATTGAAGCTGTGGGTGGGTTTTTTTCACCTTTTTTTTTTTTTTTTTTTTAATCTTTATTTATTAACCTGTCTTTGTCTCCACCCACAAGCTGCTATCTCTCCTGCCCTCCCTGATTCTCTCCCCAAGGCGGCTGGCGGGAGGGCTTAGCTACTGGCTGGGACCAGCCACCACACAAGAAGCAGGCAGACAACAGAGCACCCGCATCGGCAACAGGCGCCCAAAGAACAACTCAAAGAGGGACTTGCACAGTGAAAACATGCTCTGGTTTCACTCCTGACAGTCCACTCTCTGCCTCAGCGGCAGCCTCTGAGCTTTTGATGCTTAAAAACCCTGGAGCCCATGGCAAGAGCTTCCAGAAAGGCTGCAAAATTCAAGCAGTTTTACCGAGTGAGGCAAAAATTTGTACTTCCACTGGGGCAGTAGAATAAGCCTTGTAGACAAATAGGAGCTAAAACCTGACTTTTGCTACGCAATGTGGTACTTTTTCCTCTATTTCGAAATAATGCTGCTGAGAGAAGAAACTTTCCCACCAGGCTGAACTCTCATCTCATCCTCAGACCAGAATCCTAGCATGCGCCAAGCATCACAGAGCATTAAACACCAAACACCTCACCATTGTCTGTTTCCATGCCTTTTAATTCTGTCAAAATGGGTGGGTTTTTCACAGAGCTGTTGGAATTCACCTAGAACTCTTCATAAGCATTTCAAGGGCACAAACTGCTGCGGACACAGTAAGCTTAATTCTGTATTTTCCTTCAGCTCTTTCCCCATCTCATCCTGTTAAATACCATTGAGGGGGTTTGTTTACAACAATGTGAGAAATTAGAACTTCAGATGCTCATAAAGCACTAACTCAAACTCCCAGTTAAACTTAAACATTGTGTCCCTTCTGCCAGACCATAAAAAGGAAGAGAAGGATGCTCTTATTACAAAGATATGTACCAGTCTGGTGTGATTAACAGTCCATCCTTATGTCCAAGACAGCTGGAACATGATTTATGAGCAAGGTTTCCATGAGAATCAATGCCACATTCTTCCCTATTTGACCTGTGCAGGGTATGGCCTCAAAAAAAACCCAAAACAAGTGTATCAAAATAATAATAAAACCACAAGCAATCTCTTGGCACAAGTAATTGTCAAGTTTTATTTATAATACTTGTGCACAGTAAAGGCAAACAATTCAGCATCTTGTTTCTAAGAAAGATCTCATCTCTATGTGGTGGATTGACCTTGGGTGGATGCCAGTTGTCCACCAAGCCCTTCTATCACTCTCCTTCTCAGCGGGGCACTGAGAGGGAAATAAGATGGAAAAAAACTCGTGGGTCAAGATGAAGGCAGTTTAATACAGCAAAAGTGGAGGCAGCTCACAGACCAAAGGAAAATAAAAGATACTCCTTATGTCCTATCGTCGGGGGATGTCCAGCCACTTCCCGGGAAGCAGAGCTTCAGTACTCGTAGCAAACAAAGTGGACTTTGTTGTGAGAGTCTACTATCCACCACCCAATCAGGATGATGAATTATTCTATTAGGAATTCAGGAATATCAGTAGATCAGCTGCCCCTGTCCTTATGGGTGGTTTTAACTTCCCAGATGTCAACTGGGAATATCATACAGTGGACACAAACAGGTCCAGGAAATAGACTTAGTGTTGCTAGTCTGCTTAAAGGAGTTAGTTAGTAAGGTCCCCTGGGAATCTGCTGTTGCAGGTATTGTGGTCCATAAAAGCTGGTCACTTTTTAAGATCCATCTCTTAAGGGTGCAGGAGCAGGCAATTGCAAATTGTTGGAAGTCAAGCAAGCAGGCCAGAAGGCCAGCTTGGATATTCTAAAACTTATGTTGAAAAGGAAAGTGTTTGGACATTGGAAGCAAGGACAGGCGACACAGGAGGACTACAGAGATGCTATTCACCACTGTAGAGGGAAAATGTGTGTGGCCAAAGCTTGATGTGTGTGAAAATGTGAAATGCGTGTGGCCAAGCTGGCCAGTACAGTGAATGACAACAAAAACTTTCAAAAATATGCTGACAGCAAAAAGAGAGTCAGAGATAACATTGATTCCTTACTTGATGAGGGTGGTCACCTTACAAACAGGGATGCAGTCAAAGCGGAGACATTTAACGCCTTATTCACCTCTGCCTTCAACACCAATGATGGGCCCTGAGACCCCTGGAGCCATGTGTTGGAAGATCATGACTGGGGAATGATTAACTCCCAGCTGAATTTGAATTTGTTTAAGACTTGCTGCTCCAGCTGGCTGCACATAAGAATCATCCCAGGGTACTGAAAGAGCTGGCTGATGTTATCGTAGGACCTCTCTCCAGTATTTGTCAAGAGTCTGGGGAGTCTGGAGAGGTCCCAAGCAGCTGGAAGCAGGCAAATGTCCCAGTTTTTAAGAAGGGTAAGAAGAAAGATCCTGGTAACTACAGGCATGCCAATCTCACTTCAGTGCCTGGTAAAATTACAGAGAAGGTTGTTCTTGGAGTTGTTGAAAAACACTTGAGAGACAGTCTCTGGTCAGTATGTGTTCACAAGGGGAAAGTTTCATTAACTTAATTTCCTCTTATAACGAGGTCACACATCTAGTTGACCAAGGGAAGCCAGTAAATGTGGGGATTTTTGATTTCAGCAAAGCTTGTGATACGATCTCTCACACAATCCTTCTTGACAAATTTTCAGCAATGCAGATAGACAAGTCTGTAATATGATGAATGAACATTTGGCTGATGGGCTGGGCTCGAAGGGTTATAGAAAACAGAGTTACATCAGGCTGGTAGCCAGTCACCAGTGGCATTCCCCAGGGCTCAATTTTAGGGCCAGTGCTTTTTGATGCTTTTATAAATGATCTGGAAGCAGAAATTTAATGTACATGAAGTAAGTTTTCTGATTATACTAAACTAAGAGGAGCTGTAGACTCTCTTGAGAATAGAGAGGCTTTACAGAGAGGTCTGAATAGACTAGAAAGCTGGGCAATCACCAACCATGTGAAATTTAGCAAGAGGGAGTGCCAGATTCTGCATCTAGGACAGGGTAATCTTGGTTATACATACAAATTGGGGGATGAGAGGCTGGAAAGCAGCCCCTCAGAAAGACATGTAGGGGTTTGGGTTGATGGCAAGTTGAATATGAGTCAACAGTGTGCCCTGGCAACCAAAAGGGCCAACTGTGTCTGGGGGGTGCATCAAGCACAACATAGCTAGCCAGTCAAGGGAGGTGATGAATATAGTTTTGGGCACCTCTGTACTAGGAAATCAGACTATTAGAGTGTGTCCAGAGGAGGGCAACCAAGAGGTGAAAAGCCTCGAGGACAAGACTTATGAGGAAAGGCTGAAGTAACTTGTTTTTCAGCTTGGAGAAGAGAAGGCTGAGGGATGACTCATTGCAGTCTACAGCTTCCTCAAGGCGGCAGTAGAGGAGGAGGTGCTCATCTCCTCTCTCTGGTGACCAGCAATAAGACAAAAAGAAACAGTATGAAGTTTGAAGGCAAGTTCCGACTGGACATTAGGAAAAAGTTCTTCACTGGACTGGCTGGTGGTCAGTCACTGGAATAGGGGAAGTGGTCATGGCACCAAGTCTGTAAGAGTTCAAGGAGCATCAGGATGATGGTCTTAGTCATATGGTTTAGTTTTAGGTGGTCCAACAAGGAGGAGGGATTTGGACTCGATCATCCTTATGGGTCCCTTCCAGCTCAAGATGTTCTATGATTCTACGATTCTGCCTTATGAAGAGAGCTGTAGTACAGCTCACGTTACTCTATTTTGAGATACAGACACAATCATCAGAAAGACATTTGTTAAAATATAACTATAAATCACCCACTTTAACCAGACCCTCCTCTTTCTTCTGCTTCTATTGTTAATCGTTAAAACTGCTGTGATAAATTGGGAGGAAAAACCCCTTATTATCTGTAATATTATTACATGATCCTTGGTTTTCTTGTTCGTGTTTATGTACTTGTCTGTTTGGATGCCTACAACCAAATCAAAAAAGAACTATTTAAAGAAAAGATCAGGCAGAACAGGTAGGCAAGGAAGCACAGGAGGCAGCTGAGATCATAGAATCATAGTATGGTTTGAATTGGAAGAGACCTTAAAGATAATCTAGTTCCAATTCCCCTGTCATGGGCAGGGACACCTTTCACTAGATGAGGTTGCTCAAAGCCCCATCCAACCTGGCCTTGAACACTTCCAGGGATGGGGCATCCACAACTTCTCTGGCCAACCTGTTTCAGAGTCTCCCCACCCTCAGAGTAAAGAATTTCTTCCTTATATCTAGTCTAAATCTACCCTCTGAATTTCAGTTTATAACTGTTATCCCTCATCCTATCACTACACTCCCTGATAAAGAGCCTCTCCTCATCTTTCCTGTAGGTCCCCTTTAGGTATTGAAAGGCTGCAATAAGGTCTCTCTGAAGTCTTCACTTCTCCAGGCTGAACAACCCCAACTCTTTCAGCTAGTCCTCATCGGAGAGGTGCTCCAGTCCCCTCATCATCTTTGTGGCTCTCCTCTGGACCCATTTGAGCAGGTCCATGTCTTTAGAATGCTGGGGCCTCCAGAGCTGAGTTCCAGATGGGGGTATCACAGGAGTGGAGTGGAGGGGGAGAATCACCTCCCTCAACCTGCTGGCCACACTTCTTTTGATGCAGCCCAGGATGCAATTGGCTTTTGGGGCTGCTAGCACACATTGCCAGCTCATATTCAGTTTTTCATCCACCAATACCCTCAAGTCCTTCTTCTCAGGGCTGGTCTCAATCCACTCGTCGCCCAGCCTATATCTGTGTTTGGGATTGCCTCCACTCGGGTGCAGGGCCTTGTACTTGGCCTTGTTGAACTTAATGAGGTTTGCATGGGTCCACCTCTCTAGCCTGCTGAGGTCCCTCTGAATGGCATCACTTCCCTATAAACTATCAGCCACACCACTCACCTTGGTGTCCTCTGCAAACTTGCTGAGGGTGCACTCAATCCCACTGTCCATGTCACCAAAAAAAGATGTTAAATAATACTCATCACAATACAGACCCCTGTAGGACACCATTCATCACTGGTTTCCACATGGACATCAAGCTGCTGACCACAACACTGACCATCCAGCCAATTCCTCATCCACCAAGTGGTCTACTCATCAAATCCACGTCTCTCCAATTTAGAGACAAGGATGTTTTGTGAGACAGTATCAAATGCTTTGCACAAGTCCAGGTAGATGATATGACTCACTCTTCCCTGGGACATATCCCTATCATCTCCCCAGGATGTGTATCCCTTCCTCCACTGCCTATGCTGTTTTTTAAGTTTGGCTAAGAAGTCGTGACTTCCTGAATTCTTGCACATCATGATTGAGAGCTCTGGAACCCTAAGTAAAATGTCTTTAAATATATCCCAGCTCTCGTTCGCTCCTTTATCCCTGGGGGCAGTTTCCCAAGAGATCCCACGCACTAACACCCTAAATAGTCAAAAGTTTGCCTTTCTGAGGTTTAGGATCCTGATTCTACTTTTATTTATCCTGTACCCTTCAAGACTGAGAATTCTACCAGGGTGTGACAGCTGGGTCAAAGCAGTTAAGAGTGTCAGTTCCCCATTAGCCAGAGCTGTCACTGAGACAAGCTGCCAGAAAAGCAAAAAGGCTTTGAGAGGGGAGGGGAGAAGCCCCCCAGACTGCACTGTGGACAGGAACGCTAGCAAGGTGAAAGCGCGCTGCTCCTCCCAAAACAGAGATCATCACAGCAAGCAGAGAGCCCACCTGTGCCATGCACAGAGTTTTAGGCTGCCATTACAAAAGTCCTTAGCTGAAATACTGTCACATGTTCGACGAGGCTGTGCTGTGAACCACAGCGGGCAACGGGCCCAAGTGTTTATGTTTCTGAGCAGTGTTTCTTCCCTTTTTTCCGGATGTCTCGAAAGTCAGTCAGACCTGTTCCTGGTTCAGATTTTAGTGGTGCCCCAGCAGCCACTGTGGGAGAGGGACCTGCTTGGGGAACAAGGAGGTGAAGGAGGGCTTGAGGCCGCTCTGGATCACCATAGCATGGCTAAAGAAATGGTGGGATAGATGCTTTCTTTGTATGACTTGATCTTCCATGTTTTGAACTTTGAGTGACTCTGGTTTGTTCTGGAGAAAGTCTGGGCAGGCTAGTCAGTCACTTTAGCATGTCCTCGGGCCCCAGCCCTGGCTGGACCTGCTAACATCATCCCAGTTGATACACAACAGTTTGTAACACAGGACATGGGTGGAAACAGGGAAGCCAAGCTCCTAGAGCTGATGGCACAGCACTGGAGAGGAACCCAGAGTCCTCAGGAAGGACCCAGCTCAGACAGCAGCCAAGGAGGAAGGTGAAAGGCAGAGTGAAGATGTTACCTGGAAATTAGCAGTAAATGCTTCTTAGCTTTTATCATGCCTTTTTCATGACTTTTTCTCAGTTGTTTCCACCTCTTCCAATTTCTCTTTTTTTATTTTTTTACCTTCCTTTCTTTGTCTCTTCCTACTTCCTCTTTGGTTGACTTGATTTTCTCCATCTGCCTTCTGCAAAGGCTTCCCTCATCCTACCTTCTGTCCTACTCCCTCTCCTCACTCCAACATAGCAGGTCCTTGCGCAAGGACTCCCTTCATCTTGTAATTGCTTCCAACCCACAGCCTGTGAACCCTTCTGAAATTGTTTCCCACATACCTTCCTATTTTAGACCATACACATTCTTCAAAGTTCCCTCACCTTTATGAGCTTTTTGATAACACAACAGCAGGAGAGCTCCCATGCCACACTCAAGCCCCTGACAGCAGTCCCAACCTTTCCCCAGCGATTGGGGCTGTTGCCTACACATACAGAAGCCGTAGACTCAACATCTATAAGCCTGAGATGAAAAGATAGTCATTCTTACATGTTCCCAACTCATAAATCAAAGCATGAATTGGGTATTTTCTGAGACAAATATGTCACAAAATGCTTTTCTTGCTTTCCATAAATACACCAAATACAGAAACTAACACTTCGTTAAAATCACCTTTACTCCAACAGTGATCTGAACAGCAGCAATTTAAGGCACGGCCAGACTCCTCCCGGCAGTCTGGGTACTGGAGTAAGCCGGGCAAGTGTCTCACCCATGCTTGACCCAACCACAAAAGATGCTGGAGGCCCCCAGCAAACTGAAAGCTGGACGTGGTGATTCTCTTCTAAAGCAAGGGCTTCCAGTGGGTAGTGCATCTTCTCCTGCTGGGCAGCAATCCATGCCAAGCAAGTGTCAGATAAACATCTGTGCCAGCAACAGTTTGTGTTCAATCTTGTCCTAGCAAAACAAGTGTACTATCAGCTTGAGGACCAATTGCACGTTTCATTTTGGGAACAATGGCACAATTCCTCTTATCCTCCACACCTCAACAGTTTCTCCAAGTTACGTTTAGGACCTTTTGCTCACCAGGCATCCGAGCAGTGTTTACAGTAGAGCTAAACAGTTTCTTGGAGTAGCTTGTTGTAGGCCAGGGTATTACTGGTAGCTATGGCATTTTTCAGGCACTGCCAGAAGTAGGGCTGAGATCGGGGGTTAGTGGGCCATTCCAGGACAGAACTTCTGCACAGCCTCTTCCTCAGCCGGACATACCGAGACTTCTGCAAGACCTTCTCAAGAAATATCAAGATAATGACATCTATTTTTTCATCTAGAAGGCGCTGGTGGGCCATGTAAAATGTTGTCTTGAAGCGACCGCTTTTAATATACTTGTTGGTCAGCACAAAGACGGTCTTCTTGCTCAGCCGAATGCTCTGGGAAAGGTTGTCAAAGACGGGCTGTCCTGGCAGCCAGTCCCTTTCTTCCAGGCATAGATTGAACTGCCTGGGTTTCTGATCCTCCAGCCTTTCAACCAGTTCTGTCAGCACCCACTCATTCACAGCCGGATCTTTGTTGTCATAGGCAATAAAAGCATCGTAGCAAGCATCTGGTAAAGGGAGGCGCCGATAGCCCTTCAGCTTGGCAGTGCAGTAATGGTAACTATACCACACATCCCAGAAGTAGAGATGGTTCATCACTGTGAACGCCATTAAGGCTAGGACAGTTGAGGCTGACAGAGCGTACAGGATCAAATACGAGGTGTCCAGCTCACACGTATACAAATTCAAGAAAACCACACTCTTTCCTTTATGTGCCCCTGGGCCTGCACAGGTCACATCTGTTGCCAGAAGAGGAATAGTCACTTGAGTTTGATTGATCCAGGAAACAAACCACACGGCATCACAATTGCACTTGAAAGGATTGCCATGCAAGAGCAGCATCCTCAGGTTGTTAATGACGTTTTCAGGGAAGCTAGATTTCTTAATTATTTCAATCTTGTTTGCACTGAGGTCCAAGTATTTCAATTTAAAAGCACCTCTGAGAAAGTGTTTGGTTAGTCGCTGAATGCGATTGTTTCGGAGCATCAGTTCTTGGAGTGTTGAAGAGCAATTGGACAGTTCTCGGGGAACAGTAGAGAGAAGGTTATTGCTGAGGTCCAGAGTTACGAGTTTCTTCAGATACTGCAGTTTTCCCCAGTTGAAACTCTTCATCTGATTATTGGTTAAGTTGAGGGTCTTGAGGCCTGGAGGCATACCTTGAAAAACATCCGCAGGTAAAAAACTGAGTGAGTTGAAGGAAATATCCAGTTGTTCCAGGCTGGTCAGATTCTTGAAGAATGACAAGTATTTAGCATTGCCATCCATCCATAAAACATCCAAGCGATTTCCTCTGAATTCTAAAATTTGAAGAGATTGACTTTCCATTCCTGTGTTAATAGAGGTAGAAATCTCATTCTCATTCATCATCAGCTTCTTCAGGTGGGCCAAGTTTTTCATAAAACTCAGCGTGTGACTAACACCTTCTGCCAAGAAATAATATTTGTTGTTGCTCAGGTCTAGAACTTCTAGAAGTTGTAGCTCTTTGAAAGCAGTTGAGTAGAGCAAGTCAATCCTGTTGTCGGAAAAATCCAGATATTTCAATCCAGACAAGGAAGAGAATTCACTTCCGTTTAAGGTTTGACTTATTGCATTACCTGACAAGTTGAGGCATCTGAGGGAACCAAGTCCCTGGAAGTCTGAGGGGTTAATGAAAAAGATATTGTTTCTGCTCAAATCCAGAGTTTCTCCGTACCTCAGGCACTCTTCCTTAACTGAAGATTGGTAGGAAGCAGCCTCTTTGTCTTTGGACCTGCAACTTCGCCCATATACGTCATACCTGAAATAATGCATTTCTTGTAATACTTGCCTATTGTATTGCTCTACTGAAATCCGAGGATTAGAGCAAAATCCATAAGAATTGCTTTCCTCTGAAGAAGGAGAAATTTTATTCACTGAGAGGTCTATGAGTTTAAGAGCAGGGAACTCCTTGAACACTTTCAAGTCAGCTATTTTAATGAAGTTAGTCCCAAGATCCACCACAGTTAGATTTCTGAGACCGAGCAATGGAGCTAGATTACTTTTT